CTCCCGCCTGCAACGTCAGACCCCAAATCGAAAAACCCTGGTCCTGAGAAATGACAGCCCACTGCCCATGGCAAGGCATCTCAGTGGGCTGGACGACCTTGGAGATGACTTCTCTGCATCACAAGGCAGGGGCATCGTTGGCCCCCGCACGGACTTTGAGGTGAAGCTGGATTTCAAGGCTGAGAAGACTGGCATCACAAATAAGATGATCCGACTGGAGGTGAGAGGGACTTGGGCCTTCCTGGTAGAGCAGGGCAGAGCATGCAGCCGTGTGCTCTTAGGGATAGAGTCAGGAAGAGCTGCACCTGACAGACACAGGGGTGCTGTGGCCCCAACTTCTGCCTCTGCACTGGGTTGGCCGGGTGCCCAGGCTCTGCATCCGGAGCCTGTAATACAGCCACCTTACTGCTGTGCAGGCTTGAAGGCTGCTGTTTGGTTGTACAGACCAGCATTCCCTCTGGACCCTTTCTGGGAGTTTGTTCCCTGGGGTTTAGAGGCTGCATTTCAGCAAGCATGTGAGGTGATTGAAGAGGAGGGCGCTAATTGTCAATGCCACCTGCTCTGGGACACCTCACATTTCTTGTGGTTGTGTTTACAGCCCTGGGCCTCTCAAGGGTGCTTTAGCAGCACCATTCCCTGCTGTGGGAGTGCAGAATTGGGCTGATAAGGTTCTTTACTGCAGCAGAATCCCGCCGGGGCAGCCTGTGAGATGAACAGGTTAGGAAAGCTTGGGAGTCCACAAACACTTGTCAAACCAGGGAGGCCGTGGGGGAAGCAGCTGGCAGAGACAAGGACTCATAGACTGTCTTCCAAAAGAATGGTCTAAGCAGTGTTTGTTTCTTGCTGCCTCAGGTTTCAGAGACAGAAAACATCCTGGGCATTGTTCAAGCTGAAACCATCAAAGTCTCTGTGGAGGTCTACGATGTTAATTTGAGCATCAACACGCCTGAAGGTCAGTGGATGCCTCCCAGACAACACAGTCCGGGTGCATTTTACTACCTTGGCAGGTGGGCAACCAAAGCCCTTGGGAGGGGATGGCATAGCAGGCAAGGGTGGCACAGATCCATAAAGCACAGACATTGCAAGCTGCATGAAGTAAAGCACTGTCAGGGCACCAACAGCCTTGAGTCTCTCCCGTCTGAACTTGGAAATGTGCAGCTTCATGTGCAGATTGCATTTGGTGCTTTGGAACAACAGTCATCTGAACAGGCAGTTGGCAAGTCCCAAAGGCTCAGCACAGAAAATAAAGTAGCTGGATTTGTGCTTGGAAGCAAGGAAATGGAAACCAAGCTCCTCGGCTTCTACCCTGCAGATACTGGAGTGAGAAGAGAAAGGGCAGCCAAGTAGCTAGAGAACACTTCCGAGAAGGGACACTTGCTGAAGAGGGTTTTGTGCCATCCAAGAACTCCAACTGTGTAGCTTGTGAGCTGGTGTGCTCTGCAGCAGCTCACAAATATTCACCATTTCTTACCTCGCTCTGCGGGTTTTCTGCAGGTCCAGATGGCAGCTTGGAATTTGGAACCATTAATGTCCTTGATAATAAAAAGGAAGTCCTGAGCCTGCAGAACAAAGGCTTATATGACATTGAGTACAGGTGAGTCCAGCTGCCTGGTGCTGAGCTTCTCCTCAGGCTCCCAGGCCTGCGTTCTCCCTCTGTCCATGGCTAGAACCTGTTCCTGTGCTGCTCCCTTTTTTTTTCTGGTCCTATGCAAAGTGCTGACTGTGCTGGTGACACCTGTGCTTTCAACTGCAGAGGTCTTCATTCTTTCCCTTTCTCCACAGTTTCAAGCTGACCACTGGAAGTGCCAAGAGGGGCGACTTGGAATCTCCCTTCACT